CATCTTCTAAAACTTCTCGGATCCCCTTGCCATGAGTTACCTATATCTTTGTGTTCTTTGCTGCCGAAAATGTCACCCCATTTACTTTGTCTCCATCAAAGATCATGTTTATCGTCATGTGAGGTGAACCCGTAGCTGGTTTTGATAGTTATGCAACATCTCAATTTTTCCCATAGTTATTCTTGGCCCGATCACTTAAAAATTCCATGAGGTGAGCATTCTTCAACAATGTTGCTACCTCTTCATGAAGTTGTCGACAGTCTCTAGTCTTGTGATCATGTGTTCCATGGAACTCACACCATAGATTAGGATCCCTTTGTCTAGGATCCGGCCGAATTGATTTAGGGAACCTAGCCTCATTTATGTTCCTCATAATCGACACCAGTTCTACGAAGCTGATGTTAAAGTTGTAGTCAGATAACCGGGGATACGTTGAATCTCGGGACCCCTATGCTTCTTTCTCCTGCAAAATTCTGCTACTCCGACCATGATCCATTCTTCTATCAGAAGCAAACCTATCCGGTGACTGAAAACCATTGGCCCTTTCGTAAAATTTAAAATGACCTCTGGAAGATCTCTTATTTGCATCAACATCAACTTTAAACCTTTCCTGATTCCGATCTCGATTGTGTCCTTTGGAAGACACCGAGGAGCCCAGTTGATCATCTTCTATTCTAATCTTTGACTCAAAGTGATTGTGGACATCTGCCCATGTGGTTGCCTGAAATTCTAACAAGTTTTTCTTCATATTTCTAGAGGCATCGGATCTCAACGGGTTGAGACAGCTCAATGGGTTGAGACCTTTTGTAAATGCTTTTGCTGCCCACTCCTCCGGTACTGCCGGCAACAACATCATTTTCTTTTAAATCGGATTACGAACTCTCGCAATAGTTCAAATTCTCCTTGGGCTATTCTGAATATATCCGCCTTTCTTTCTTGGATCTTTCTTGCTCCAGCATGAGCTTTAATAAAAGAATCTGCAAGTATTTTAAGAGAATCAATGGAATGCTCAGGTAAAAGAGAATACCAAGTTAAAGAACCCTTCGTGAGGGTCTCGCCAAATTTCTTCAACAAAACAGATTTGATCTCGTGCTGGGCCAAGTAATTTTCCTTTACAGTCGTAGTGTAGTTCGTGCTATGTTCCTTTGGATCCGAAGTCTCGTCATACTTCGTAATATTCGGCATCTTAAACCTTTTCAAAATCAACTCTTGGGCCGCACTTGGTTTGAATGGGAATTGCGTATACTTCTTGGAATTTGGTCCCTTTAGCACTGGCAGCGCTCCCGCATCTGATCCATCCGAGCATAGAATTCTTTAGCATTTAGGTCTATTCATTCATTCATTTCCCTCATGAATCTCATGAGCTCGATTTTGAAAGGGTCATTTGCGTTGTTGTCATTCCCATATCCACTACCTGTACCTCCTGCCTCGTTAAAACCTAACTCCTCTCTTGGAGCCTCGTTACCGGTTCTTTGAACTGTTTGATTTGCATAGACGCTGGGATGGATATGTGCTCCTCCATTAGAATTATTTGAAGCAACCGATAATGCCTTCTTCAATTCTGTCATCACCTGGTCTTGTCTTGACAGGTATAATTTCCCTTTGTTGCTCTCTCAAACTTTTTACCGTTTTAACGTGTTCGTCATCCGCATCATCAGGAGTTGGACTCCTCACATGCCGAGGATTTTGACCTTCGCGGACTAGATTTGCTTTATCTCTTTTATTGTGGGTTTCGCTAGTTGAATCATCACGTTGGAACGAATCGTCACGTTCTTTGTGTGCTCCAACATTATAGGAATTGTTGATATCGTTAGCGGCCATATCTATTTTTTTTTTGCTACGAAAGAAATCAAAATTTGTTAGTAACAGATGAATGGATCAAACCAATTACACAATTGTCTATGCCTCACGGTGGGCGCCAAACTATTTACCTGTAAAACGGTACAGTTGAATTTCTAACGTGATTTATAGACACGTGAATTAATTTGATCCAGAAATATGAAATAGATAAGAATAAAATCAAGATAATGAAATAACTTAAAGGAAATAGAAGTATAGCTATGAATTTAGCTTCTCCAATAGCAATAACAAGAACTATATTAAGAATAAGGCAAAAGAGCAATTTGATAGAATAAGAGCTGATCTTCTTTTGTGTACAGAAACTTTCTTATTTATAACTCTATTCAGGGACACAAGATCCCCAAATCAAGCTCTTCTTGAATGAGAATAAAACCCCTATTGATGTTTGTATAGCGGTTGGTCTTTAATATAGAGATTCCTTGTAACAGCTGCTCATTGAATGTTGTCTTTTCTAACCGATGTCTTTCTTTGAAGTCTTTGTCATCGGTTTCCATGCCTTCGAAAATCACCCAGCAACGGTCATATGCTTGTATCCGGTGCCACTATTTGCTGACTCGCATCTTACTTATCTTCAGTTCCATGTATCATCCCATCATTTGTCCAACTGTCGTTAACCAATTTTACCTCATATAGTCGATTTGTCCAGGAGAATGTCTCGAAAACTCTAGAATTAGTTTTCAATCGTTAGGGACTCATGACTTGATTGCGAGTTTAGCTTATGAAACGTTTTGATATTTAACTCATAATTCAGTTTTCGTACCTTAAAAATTGAAGACTTGATTTACCTTTATTAATATGTTGATTTCAGTTGAGACTTTCGATTAGCTAGTACAGATTCCCTCAAATAACTACAGTTTGGATGTCAATTACGTCCCATCCCAATTTGAGGGTGTGACATGAAATAAGCATTTCACGACGACACATAGTCTTTCAACTAATATTGAATTTTTTAAAATTTTGATATGAGTATCTCTTAATTAGTTTTCATGTTAAGCCAAACTAAACTATTGAAGTTGAAACAAAATGCCAAGCGAGGTTGTTAAAATCATTTCGATTTGACAGCTCTTATGGAATCTTGTAACATTATGTTGTCTAATTAAATACTCCGGATAAAACACCCAAACGTAATCAATAAGAAAGTTTGTACGAATTATTAGCAGCTGGGAACCCACAAAACAGTAGGTTGAAATAAAGCAAAAGACAATTATAAACAGTAGGTGAATTGATAAGTAATTTTTCATCTTTATTAAAAAATCTTGGATCAAATTTTGGGTATGAAATCCCCTTTTTTTGCGGATGCTTCACCTCTACTGTGAGATTTTTTGGTATAAATTTGAATTTAGTTGAATCCAATATAGACATATAATATAAATAAATAAATAAATAAATAAATAAATAAATAAAAGCAAAGGACAAGTTCAATGTGAATCTACAGTTGAAAATCAGTAAGGATAGTACAATCTGTTAAGTTGATGATATGACAAAGCAAAGAAATAATTAAGGTCCAGATAAATATAAGGGAATCTCATGAAACACTTGAGCCAGTTGGGGAAATTTTAACTGAAAAAATACAAGTACAGCATGTGGACAATTGTTTAGTTAGAAAAAAACAACTTCATTACTATACTGAGTATTCTCTTTTTTGCATTTTTGAATTGCAAGTGCATTTTGGCATCACCTGTTAACATTGTCTACTTCTATTTGGGAATCTTTGCCAAACTTTTGATTCATAAAATCTGGTGATACTTTCATAGTACTTGAAAGGAGTACAGGTTGTATAAGGCATAAACTTTGAGCATATATAAAAGGCTTATAATATTTTATAAATTTTCACCCTCTCAAATCAATGCCAATACTTACCTTCACCTAATGTTAGTACCAAGATGATACATTTGGTGAACATCGGACGCAAGAAAGTATTTTCTGACTATACTCAAATCTCAAGAAATGGCAGTTGGAATTTACGAGAAGCAAATTAAAAATTTCAATTATTTTAAAATAAATTCAAATAAATAAAACTATATAAAAAGTATCATATAAAAATAGAAGTATCTTTGCTAAGATGAAATAAAAGGTGGTTGTAATTTGTGGAGTTTGATTTTAAATAAAGTTGGATAACTTTAAACTTGTATTGGACTTGCAGACATTATCAAAACGTCAGGATAATATAGGATAAGAAGAAAATGACACATTTTATCTCATTCATTGTGTTATATCTTTATCAAAGATGTATCAAAGTATAAGTCCTTTGGAGGTCAGACTGTTGCTTTCTTTTCTCCTAAAACAAGAAAAACAAATTGGTGCAGGAGGCTTATTTAGAGGGAACGATCTTCTACATACTCACTTAAAATTTAAACAAAAAATATATTCTAATAAATATTTTTAATATTATTTTCACAAATCTCCCTTGTTATGAAAGAGTCATTATTAAAACAAAATTTGTAATGAATTAACAAAATTAAATCCTCTCTTTGTTATGTAATATTAGAAACCTCCATAAGAAAAGAATAAATAGGAAAAAAAAAAAACATGACATCAATTTTAAAAGTGATTGCAATTATTTTGTATGACATCAATTGCTTCTGAATATTTTAAATAATTAAATGTTTTAATTAATTGCATAAGACTTAAATTGATATTAGCATAATGGATATTACCATAACCATTTGATTAAAACCATTCAGATACTTAGAATCTCAAAGTCACTTGAAATCTGGATTCTAATGGAATCCAACAACTAACGACCAAACAACCCAGTAAAATTTTATTAATGGGATCTGGGGGGTCTGGAAGGGTACTGTGTACGCATACCTTACCCCTACCCGAATGAGTAGAGAGGTTGTTTCCGAAAAACCATGAACTCAAGAAAATAAAAAGGATCTGGGGGGTCTGGAAGGGTACTGTGTACGCATACCTTACCCCTACCCGAATGAGTAGAGAGGTTGTTTCCGAAAAACCATGAACTCAAGAAAATAAAAAGACAAAAGGAGACAATATTAGTATCAGAATACCAATCATAAAAATCCAACAAGGAAAATACAGAGAATCCCAACGGAAAAATAAGATCCAACCAAGAGATTAGGAACAACACCAAGATTTTTCAAATACTAAAGTCAATATGAATATTTCATTAACTCAAACTATTTTTTTTTCATCATCGTCATAATAATGATAATAATACAATAACACTCATCTGCCTCTCTGTCACCACCACCAAAACAAATATTAATTGTTTGGGGAAAATAGCACTAACTAACCTAAAAAAAAAATTCACCCACATCTCATTGGAACCCAGCAAAGCTTCAGATATTAAATTCTGGGTTCAAGGATGGTTGAAAAATAAGAAAAATAAAATAAACAAAAATGAAAACTGCCTAGGTCAGATAGCTGTGGACCCCATTTACCAATCCACCACCATTTACAGTAATTAAAAAAGAAGAAGAAAAAACCGAACCCGGCCCTGGGCATTTGTTAGAATAAATAAAAAGCCGTTTAAACCCTAGCATTCTGCAGAAGAGGAGCAAAACCATGGGAAGCAGCTTCTTTGCAAGACTGATCTAAAGATTCAAACCCCACTTCAGAAATCAGTTTAACAAGCTCATCCAAATCCAAATGACCGAACCGCTCCTCACCCCGGTCCAGTAACCTTAAAATCTCCGAAAAGTAGTCGACTTCACAAGGCAAAACTAACCCACCCGTACTCTGGTACCCAAATTCCTCCTCTGCCTTGTCGAGCAGCGAGATGAACACGGGGAGGTTCAAGAACCGGGTCGGAATCACGAACCGGAGGCGTTCTGGCCCCACGTAAACCGCCAATGATCCTGACGGCGTACGACGGTCCGAACCGGATAATGCCGGTTCGTCTGAATCGGATGAGGAGTACGAGAGGACACCGCGGCGCTTAAGGGACTTGTTTTTCCAACGTTTGACGACTTGTTTTAGCCTTACGATTTGAGTAATCATGTTCCCTTTCTTAATGGCGGAAGCCATTGATTAGGAATGAAGCTTTTGCTCTTTTTTTTCTCTTTCAAATATTTGTAGAGAGGTGAAGAGAGAGAGAGAGGAACTTTGAAGAAGAGGTGTTGGAGATTATAAAGGGAATTAAAGACTTGTGAGGTGGCTACAAGGGGTATAGGGGTGGTGGGGGCTAGTGGGGGAGGGGTATGTGGAAAAAGTGCATACTAAATTCCACTGAGTTGTTTTGTGAATCCGGAACTCATTTGTGGTTCTTTTTGACATGTAGTACGAAAATAAGTATTAAAAAAAAGTGATTTATCTATGTATAACGTCCTTTTAAAGAGCGTTATTCATTAACGGACGTTTTGGACGTTAAGATATAGCGCTCTTTAAAAGAGCGTTATACATATATTACGCTTTTATAAACCGCGTTATGCCTGGACTGATAAGACAGCTATGCATAGCGCGGTATATAAAAGCGTTATATGTATAGCGCTATTATATACCGCACTATATATAGATAAAAACAGTCCCCTTCCTTTCTTTCCCACGATTAAAACCAGGAGCCCAGAACCCCCATTTTTTAAAAAATCTTCAGCGCCCTCCCCCCCCCCCCTCATTTTNACATAAATCGAGGTATTCCGATTTAGTTTATGTCGAAACTCATATAAATAATGCATATTAGGTATTTTGAATGTGTTCCATGTTGTTTTGTAATTTTTTTTTTGCGTTTAAACCAGTATGTTATTTTTATCCGGACTAAGATATTAGTGTTTAAAAAAATATGTAAAAATTGAGAAATCATTATTATTTGTTAATAAAAATGTTAATAAATTACTTTTACTGTTTTATATGTATTTTCGTGGATGTTTTGTGATTAAAATATATTTGTTGATTTTATCTAGTTTAGATTATTTACTTGTTTAAAGACTAGTAATATAGTGCCCTTTTAGCTTAGTAAAATGTAAAGCCTTTTAACGTAGTATCCATATTGTTTAAGTATATCTTATACTGATAGATCAAACACAAACTCTATCCAATATACAAAAATTAATTATTTAATTTACAAACAAACATATAAAATTATGAAACTAACATGTAAAATAATAAAATTGACACACATAAGAATTAAGGATAGCTTGGTACTACTGGGCCTCAAATATCGAGTCTGGAACCCATAAGTGAATAATCTATCCAATTAAATATTGTATAATTATAAAAAAAAATAATTATTTAATTTATAAAATAAATATATAAAATTATGAAACTAATATGTAAAATAATAAAACTAACACATACAGGAATTCAGGATAGTTTGGTGCTACTGGGCCTCATATATCAAGCCTGAAACCCATATGTGAATACTCTGTCCAAATAAATATTGTATAATTATAAAAATTAATTATTTAATTTACAAAAAAAACATATAAAATTATGAAACTAACATGTAAAATAATAATACTAACACATACAAGAATTCAAGATAACTTGATAATACTGGGCCTCAAATATCGAGTTTGGAACCCATATATGAATTCTCTATCCAAATAAATATTGTATAATTATAAAAATTAATTATTTAATTTACAAAACAAACATATAAAATTATGAAACTAACATGTAAATGTGATGACCCAAAATGTCATCTTTAAATTTAATAAGTAATTATGTGTTCTAAGACCTCGAAAAGTACCATTTATCATTTCTCGACTTGCGTGCGCAGTCCGTACAATTTTTCGGAAAGTTTTTATATGAAAAATGGATTAAAATGTGAAATAGAGCTTTAAAACTCAACTAAGTTGACTTTGGTCAATATTTTGAGAAAACGGACTCAGATCAGTATTTTGACAATTTCGGTAGGTCCGTATCGTGATTTGGGACTTGGACGTATGTCCGGAATCGAATTCTGAGGTCCCTAGCCTGAGATATGGAATTTTGATGAAAAATTAAAAGCTTGAAAGCTTAATAATTTTTAAGAAATTACTGGTGTTGGATTTATTGACCTCGGGTCCGTATTTTAGTTACGGAGCCCTGTGTAGGTCCACTATAATATTTATGACTTGTCTGCCGAATTTGGTAAGAATCAGAATTGATTTGACGTGATTCGGACGTCCGGTGGTAAAAATATAAGTTTTAAAGTTTTCTTAGAAATTTCCTTTGATTTGGTGTCCGATTCGTAGTTCTTGATGTTATTTTGGCGATTTGATCGCGTGAGCAAGTTCGTATGATATTTTAGGATTTGGGTGCATGTTTGGTTTGGAGCCCCGAGGGCTCAGGTTGGTTTCGGGTGGTTAACGGATCATTTTTGGACTTGAGGAAACTGCAGACGCCTGCTTCTGGTTTCCTTCTTCGCGTTCGCGAGGGGAATATCGCGTTCGCGAAGAGCAAATTGGGGCTGGCACATTTTGTCCTTAGCGTTCGCGACAGAGAGAACGCGTTCGCGAAGGCTTGAGGTGCGAAGCTTCGTGTTCGCGATCGAATCCTCGCGTTCGCGAAGGGAAAGGAGCTGGCCAGGACAATTACCTCACGCGAAGGGCATCTCGCGTTCGCGAAGGCCAAGCCAGGCAAGCTTCACGTTCGCGAAGTAGCCCTCGCGTTCGCGAAGAGTAAAAATTGGACAGCACAAATTTGTGCTTCGCGAACGCGAGGCACTGACCGCGTTCGCGAAGGGTAAAAATCCCAGAAACATAACTTAAGTTCTGGAAATAGGGTTTCGACCAATTTTCAACTCTTTTCCATTTTTGAGCTCGGGTAAGGCGATTTTTGGGCGATTTTTACGGGAAAATATTGGGGTAAGTGTTCCTTATCCTATATTGATTATATTTCGTGATTTCATACTCATTTATATCATGAATCCCTAAATTTATGGAAGAAAAATCAGATTTTTATAAATTCTTCCAAAAACGAAAATTTAAGATTTGAAGGTCCATTTGATATCGGAATTGGATAATTTTTATATGGTTGAACTCGTAGCGGAACGGGTGTTCGAATTTCGCAAGTTTTTCTGAAATTTAAGATGTGGGTCCCACTATCGAATATTTTAATGAATTTCGAATTTTTATCCGAAAAATTAGTAAATTCATATGAAATTAATTCTTATTATTCGTATTGAATATATTGAATTGTTTGTGAATAGATTTGAAACTTTTGGAGACAAATTTAAAAGGAAAAGTTGTGGTTGAGTAATTGATTGAAATTTGCAAAGCGAGGTAAGTGTCGTAGTTAACCTTGACTTGAGGGAATAGAACCCTTAAATTATTTATTATGTGAAATGCATATGAACGATGTATAGGCGAGGTGATGAGTGCATATATGTCATCAAATTAATTTTTTGCATAATTATTTGAAAATCCTAAATTTATTTTAATACATGTATTAATTGTTATAATAATTGTTTCTCTCCTATTCTTTGCCAAATATTAATTCTTAAATTCCTGTAATAATTGCTACATGCTTATTTGAATTATGTGCACTAATTGCTACTTGACATTTAGTATATTAAATATTAAATTGTCTATTTTCTCCCTGATTTCTAAAATAAATTGTTATTGCCATTGTTTGTTCATAAATAAATTATAATTATTGTGTGCCTTGATACTTAATAGTTTCTCATTGGACGTGGTAGTTTTTGGAGTAATTTTTATTTACATTATGAGTTGTTTAAAGTTATATATATCGGGGGAACGAGTTGCACGCTGCAACGAAAAATGTAAGTAAATATATCTATATTGGGGGATCGGATTGCACGCCGCAATAAACTTATTTAAAAGTCAATATTGGGGGATCGGATTGCACGCCGCAATAGACTTATTTAAAAGTCAATATTGGGGAATCGGATTGTACGCCGCAACAGACTTATTTAAAAGTCTATATATATACTTGATTGAAATAAATATATGACAGACTTGATTAAAAAGAATATATTGAGAGAGCGGGTTGCACGCTGCAACAGAATTGAATGTGAATATATTGTGAGAGCGGGTTGTACGCTGCAACAGAATTAGTTGAAATAATAATGGATTATGACTGCTGAGTTAGCTTCAATTATTATAAATGAGTTACCTGATTTATTTCTATTATTTATTGTTGTTATTAATATTGCGTACATGTTAATGTAAGTGAACCGCCATAGCCTCGTCACTACTTCGTCGAGGTTAGGCTCAGCACTTACCAGTATATGGGGTCGGTTGTACTAATACTACACTTTGCACTTCTTGTGCAGATTTCGAAGTTGATCCTAGCGGCGTACCATAGACTTGCTCGGATTTCAGCTACTCAGAGGAGACTTGAGGTATAACTGCATGGCGTTCGCAGTTCTGAAGTCCCCGTCTAATTTACTTTAGCTGTGTGTTTGTTTCCAGACAACTTTATTTTATTCAGACCTTTATTTGTATTATTGTATAAGCTCGTGCACTTGTGACACCAATTCTGGGATGGTATTTAGACACCGTTGTTTTTATGGATTATTCACTACATTTCAGATTTTACTTCCGCATTTATTTCTTTGTTATTAATATATTTAAAAATTATTTTAAAAAGGATAATATTATTCTAATGTTGGCTTGCCTAGCAAGTGAAATGTTAGGTGCCATCACGGTTCGAAGGTGGAAAATTTCGGATCGTGACAGTAAAATAATAAAACTAACACATACAAGAATTCAGGATAGCTTGGTGCTACTGGGCCTCAAATATCGAGCCTGGAATCCATAAGTGAATACTCTGTCCAATTAAATATTGTATAATTATAAAAAAATAATTATTTAATTTACAAAACAAACATATAAAATTATGAAACTAACATGTAAAATAAAAAAAAACTAACACATACAAGAATTCAGGATAGCTTGGTGCTACTGGGCCTCAAATATCAAGCCTGGAACTCATATGTGAATACTTTGGCCAATTAAATATTGTATAATTATAAAAAATAATTATTTAATTTACAAAACAAACATACAAAATTATGAAACTAACATGAAAAATAATAAAATTGACACATATGAGAATTCAGGATAGGTTGGTGCTACTGGGTCTCAAATATCGAGCCTGGAACCCATATGTGAATACTTTGGCCAATTAAATATTGTATAATTATAAAAAATAATTATTTATTTTACAAGACAAACATACAATTAATGTTGTATAATTTACAGTAG